CCAAAATTTCAGGAATCCAATTCGGAATGTTTTTAATTTGCTTACGGAGTCGGCCTGGTTCCAAAATGGTATAAGATGTTGGTCTTCGGCCTCTAGGAGTAAAGTTGAAAAAGTGTCACACACTTTCACCCTGACATTCGCATTTATTATATAGATTAACAAAAAAATTCGGATTTCAAAAAGGCTGAGGACAAGAGTTTTAAGCGGTCCATAATTCAACAGCCATAATATCAATAACCCATCAGTTTTGTTCCATTTTATAATAAAATAATCACAATGTTTCAGAACGCGTCAAAATTCAAAAGAAAAATAATTTTATACAATTTTTCATCCAATACAAGGCCCAAGAGCTACTCAAAATACAGGGTTACATAATAAGAATGTTGTAAGAACCTAAAGAATTACGTAAGAAGCGCATATTATAAGGATATGTAGGATAGATAACAGTTGACCGTAAACTTAAATAGAAGATAGTGGTGATCGATGAAGCATCCTCTCGGAAGTCTGTTCCACAAAGTAACTAAGGAAGAAGCTGAGTAGAACTTCTTCTTTAAGAAAGAAACAGGAAATGATTCGACTCTGTGTACTTGGCCTGACGGGTCTGGTTGAGACAGTCTGAATTGGTGGAACATCTGTAGATCCTCTGGACATTTGATAGCGATAGATTAGCGCGAGTCTAGCAAAGATTTGCGAGAAAGGTATTTTAGGATGGAAAATTTAATTGCCCACGGGAGCGCGTAAACCTTTCTTAACCCTGTCAAGGATGGACAGTGAAGACAATTCGTCGCAAAAAAAATCAGGTAAAAAAGCAGCTCCAAACCGGATATGATAGCCTTACTCCATTTTATGGCAGTTGGAATCAGGTGCTTTTTGGAGCGGTAAAAGGGACAGGCTATATTTTTTGGTATCTTTAGCTATGGATCATATATACAAGTTCCATTTGAGGTCTGGAGTGAAGCCGAGTTTTGACAGTCATTCAAGACAAGTAAAATAAATAAGGCAGTTCAATAGTCGATTAAAAGATTTTTGTTTCGTTCTCTACTCAACAGAATTTACATTTAATGTCTACTGTTGCTAACCTCTGCTACAACAGAGCCAGATATGCCGAATATGCCAGAAGTCCAATCGGAAACCACATTGAAAAAAAACAAAACAAACAAACAAAAAAACTTATATAATTTCTGACTTTTTGGATGATTCACGATTCTAAAACAGTCTCTGATGTTATTTAAATTATTGTTTGTTGAAGGTGATTGATGCATTTTTAACGTCGCCATTTTGATGGATTTATGGATTGTTTTTTTTTACTATCTCATGAGATAGTAAAAAAACTAACTGCTAACTTGTTGGTATGAGAAGAGCATGCGCAATACCTCTTTCAAATACCATTATTTAGCAATGTTTTGTCACATCTATTATTCTGACTTTTTCTGCTTTACTTATCGCTGTAGACATCTCCTTCACTTACAGTTTGTTATTTTCTGTTCTAATAAAACTAAATATATATTGTGAAGGGAAAAAAATAATGATTGTCTATTTACCTACATCAGTCTAAGTTGTATATTGAACCTCGGCAATCATGAACGAAGGTAAGTATTAGTGATAGTGTAGTAGCAGGCAAATTTTAATAAATAAAACAAAATATTTCTTAAATTCTTGAAAAGTATCTCCTACTTTCATCTCTTGAAAAGTATCTCCTACTTATCATCTCAACACCTTATTTAAATTATGATAAACGTGCAATCAATTTACAAATTCAATTACGATAAACGTGCAATCAAGTTAAATAACTGATCCAAGTGCGACTTTTGGATAATAAGTGCGACATTACTGTAATTATTGAACAATATAGTTCATGCCACTTTGACAGAAAATTTACCAGTAAAAAATTCGTTCATCACCATATTTGTATATGAACGCACAACTTTTAAAAATTTAAAATCAAACTCAGCGTTGCTACTGCGCGCTCCAAAAACAATAACTCATTTTCAACAGCATTTTCGGATACTACAATACATATATTTTCGTTGTCCTCTTATTACTAAGAGAAAAAACAAGAACAACATCTATTCTATACCTGAAGATGTCTGTAGGAACAGACGAAAGCTTGTAGTAAAAATAAGAACTAATACGGCAGAAATTTATGGAAACAAGGATCATTTCATTCATAACGGATTCGGAGGTTTTTGTATATTATTTGAATTGTTTGCGATGATGGATTTCTCGCCAATTAAATCATTAACCTTTGCATTTGTTTTTGTGTGAATAATTCATGAATATATATATATATATATATATATATACGATTACAAGCACGCAAGGGAAAGTGATTAGACGAAACTTTTCGATGGTTGTGCTAGCGTAGTGTCACAAGACATTGTGACCGAGTGTTTGATCTGCTTAGTATTTTTGCAAGTTGGCTCTGTGGGTTTTGAAGACACACCATTGTTTTAGACATCTTCAGCAGGTATCTGCAACAATAATTTAAGAAAATTGAAATTAGAGAAAAAATAAAAACTTAAAAAAATAAATATAATGCCAATCGAAATTTCCGCCCTTTTAAATCATGTTCTTTTACTGTTCTCTCTTCTTAATAGTGGTTTTTTTTTTCAGACACACAGTAACCTTTTGCGTCTTAGTGACTTCATTTGCTAGCTTGGGTGTAGTTGTGGACTCGACTACATAGGGAGGACTTCCCAACGTTTGGATTTCAAAATTGGACAACATTTACCTCCCCGAATTTTGAATCCGGTCTCTAGCAGTAATCAGCTAGTGAATCCGGGTCATCGATCGCTCAACATGCTATTAATAGCAGGGGCTGTGTTAGAGGATTTAGTGTTGAACGTTTTTCAATTCTGTCTCGGCCACACGCTCTATACCATCTCAAGGTTCTAGAGTCTCTGTATATCAGATCTCGCAAGACTTCTCTCTGTAAACGAAGAGATTGGTTGATAAGTCTGAATAATATTAGTCTCTAGTTTCCCCTCATTCTATAACTTGATTTACACGTTTTTAATTTCCAGAATAAAACTTGATAACCCGTTGTTTTTTTAGTTTCATATTTACATGCTTGTAATTGAAATAAGAGATTACGCTTGTTCAAAGCTGATATATATATATATATATATATATATATATATATATATATATATATATATATATGTGTTCGGTGCCTCAAAAAACAAAACAAAAAAAACAAAGCTTTAACATGCAGTTTAAAAATGGAAGATTTTTTGTTTTAGTTTTACTTCCAAGCTAATAAATTAATTTTAACATTTACAATAAGCAAAAAACTGTTCTGCATTTCTAACCGAATTTAAATAGATTGGAATTATTTTTAAATCTCTAAAATCGGCCATTTTGACAAATCTGTGAATACAGTATAATTCTCTTTATTAATAATATCTTTCGGAATCTTTAAAATTTAATTAATCTGAATTAAAAGGAATATTACTGACTTTCAGAAAAGCAGAAAAGCATTTTTTGACACAGGTGAGTTTTTTTTATGAGGTGGTAACACATTTGTCTTGATTACAAGATTTAGGTAAGGTTGAAATATTTGTCGTAAAATTACATAACAAATACAACGTGAAAGCCCTATTTAAATAATTTGTTAACTATCTAGTAATCTTAAAAATTTAAAATATTTTAAACATTCTATTATTTTTTATCTTTTTGCATTTTAGGTACATTTTCTTATGGAGACGCTTGTTGAAGAACTTACTATAGTTATCGCTCTTATTTTCTGATAATGTCGTCTATACACGATATGAACGTATGTATTTACAAAAATTGGCACGTTTATACCCACACACAAAAAAAAACCTTTAAAATTATCTTTAAAATACAGGGACCCCTGAATTGCAGTAAGTTTTTCTATTTATGATTAGTTAATATAATTTTTTACTTTATAAAAATATCACCTAATCAGTACAAATTAATACAGAAATGTAAAAGACTTAAAACTTTATAAATTATTCTAAATAATTTAAATAGGATGAAAACAGTTCTTCTAAAAGTTCGTTATCCCGGAAAAAAATGCTTAAGACATTAGTGTCCATAATATATCTCGTTCATAAAAGCAATTAAAAAATTTTCTAATAAAATAATGTCCTGAAATTTTCATTAAAATCGAATTATTATTAAATTCTGCCAAGACTTTCCAAATGAATGTGTAAAAAAAAACGCAAAAATTTTCCATACTAATTTATGGCCGCCCGTTGACGCAAGAAAAACAAATTTTAAACAAAATTTTGAAGATTCTAAATAGGATTAAAAATAAAATTTAATAATCATAAAATTTTTTAAACATTCCTCTTAATAATATTAAGATAAAGATTTTGACGATAAAACTTTTTTTTTATTAAGTTTGAGTCATTTTTTCATCATGTGCTAACTTTTCGAGAATCTCATGATGTAAATAATATATATATATATATATATATATATATATATATATATATAGAGAGAGAGAGAGAGAGAGAGAGAGAGAGAAGAGACAGACAGATAGAGAAAGAAAGTGAGAGAAATTAGGTTTCCTCCTATTTTATAACTCCTCGCATCAACCTCTTGCAACTTTTGTTCCCGCTAAAAAAGACAACCAGAGTCTAAACTTTCTATTCTCTCCCTCGCCCTGCTTGGTTTCATAGTGCCTAACTCCATCTCCATTGGAACCCCATTCCCACGAAAACGTGGCCGGATAAGATAAAATTAATAAGCGGCGACGTCGCATCACGATTACAGCAGCGAAGGAACGACCAATCTGGCCGGCTCCCTACCCCAGCCGATCAGGCTGCTCGCTGGCCATCCGCATCGTATTAATCGCGTCAACAGTTCATTTCACTCGCAATGCCAACTTCGGCCAGCGTCTATCTGTCACTTTAATTATACTACTCCAATCATAGTTAACACTGCCTTTGGCACAACCAACCCCGGCAAATCTTGGCCACTTGTGCGAAGAGCGCTCATGCGCTGTTTTCTATTACAGCTATTATGCTTTTCTAAGCCTTCTCCGTCGTTTTTCGAGAATCAAAGTGATAAGTGTCAGAGAAAGAGAGAAATAGAGACAGATAGATACATAGATAGGTAGATAGATAGATAGACAGAGAGAGAGAGAGGAAGGAGGGAGAGGTTAGTTCAAAGAAGGGACAATAAAGCAATTTGGAGAGAGTGAAAATTTTCTCTCTTCTAAATCACAGAAAGTAAGACAGAGGGATATAATCTTTTTTCTCCCTTTTCAACAACTCAAAGAGAGAGAGAGAGAGAGAGAGAGTGAGAGAGAGAGAGAGAGAGAGCGAAAGAAAAATAGAGAGTGAAAGAGAGAGAGAGAGATGAGAAAACAAATTAATTTCGAGAGAGGGAAATTCTCTTTCTTTTCTAAATCAAAGAGTGAAGATTCTAATCTTTTTCTTCTTTTTCTATAAGTCACACATGCAGAAAGAGAAAGAGAGAGAGAAAAGGTGACAGAGAAAGAGATAGAAAGAAAAAATAGAGATAGAGAGATAGCAAAGGAGTGAGAAGAGAGAGAGAGAGAGAGAGAGAGAGATTAAGGCAACGAAAGCAATTTGACGTGAGAGAGAAAATTGTCTCTCTTTTCTAAATCACCAGGAGTAAGAGATGTTCTTATGTTTTTCTCCCTTTTCTACAAATCACGCACACACACACATTCTTCGACAGGGTGGTCCAAAAATCTTGTCACCCCCCCTACCAAAAAGTAATGAGAATAATAGAGCAATACAGTAATACAAAGCACATGTACTTGATTCAGTTTATTCACTTTCATTGACGCTGTAACACATCGAGAAGGTCTGTATGAACACTATAATTTTCGTGGCACAAAATGATGCCGCGCCATGTCCTGTGTAATATTTTACGAAATTGTGCTTTGTTGATTGTTGCAAAGACTCTCCGGATGGCGTTCTTCAACTGATGGGTATTCTGGTATCGTTCATGTGAAACTCTCTCCTTGATAATACCCCACAGAGCGCTGTCGCAAGACGTGAGGTGTGGACAAAGCGGGAGACCAATCGACAAGTGATGGAAGTTATATAGGGGCGACGAGACTTTCGGACAACCCTCTATTTTACGTTTGTGATGAGCGGCAGTGAGGAAAGGAGAAACTCTATTCTTTCTCTCTCTCTCTCTCTCTCTCTCTCTCTCTCTCTCTCTACAAATTATAATGATAAAGATATAATATGAAAGAATTTTATCTATGTTCTTTCCAGAAAATAATACTGAGAAAGAAGATAGCCATTTTGTCCCTCTCGCTTTTCTGCAAATCATAGTGTATGTGAGAGAATGTAAGATTTCCTTCATATTTTTTTTTTTATATTTTTAACTGCAAATGTCTCGGGAGGTATTTTGACTGACGACAGAAAAAGCGATGCTGCAATCTGAAGATGCATTGGAATAACGAAATATGCCTTACAAAAACTAAGCAAAGTATTAAGAAACAGGGATATTTCATCAGAACAAAGAAAAGAGAACTGAATTGGTATGTAATATCAATTTTTCTACATGGCAGTAAATTCTAGACAATATCCTCACAGATGAAACAGAATCTTAAGACAATAGAAACGTGGTTCTACAGAAGGATGCTGAGAAGACTAAACATATGAGCAACGAGGAACATTTAGGGAAAATGAAATAAGCACTTACATTTAAAATCGGAGAAGGGCTGTTGAAATTTCTAGGGCACATAACGAGGGATGTGGGCTCGGAGAATTTGATACACATATGCTATATGAGGAACAGAGAAAAGCAGGAACCTACCTACCTCACGGGCTTGTGTAAATGGTTGGTAGTACAGGGATTGGTATAGATATAACATGAAAACACTTACTAAGATATACGAAGGACAGGAAATTGTGGAGAGCCATGATCACCCAGGTCCTGAATGGACAAGGTACAACGAAGAAGCACTGCAAATCGGAGATATGCATTTACTTTAACGGCTATCGGTGGAGTCAGCTTAAGGCATGAATCCATCTATTTTTCCTAAAGATATCAGTGTAGACTGGGAGACCACTGGTATAAGAGAAATACAATTTTGAATTCCAAAGTGTAAAGAAAGTGAGAGGAAACAAAAGACAAAGATAAGAAATACATGAAAGCCATAATTCCCAACGTCTTAAGGAGACATGCCATTTTAAAAAAAATCTCAGAAGAAGAGGGATAGACAGCAAGTACGCACGCGATAGATAGATAGATAGATAGATATAGAGGGATAGAGGTATTTTCAATTATTCTGTGTTAAATAGTGCGTGTAAAAGAGAGTGGTAAAGTCTTTCTTTCTCTGAAATCAGTAAATGTAAGACTGGTGGAAGTGGAGATTCATAAAAAAGATAGTGTTTTCACACCAGGGCAGAGCCAGATCCATGATGATACTGAGGAAGGTGCTGGACGTTATGCAAAACTTGCTGTCACTCTACCCTTCGAAATTAGCCGTAAGCCTGAAAATCCATGAAATAATAATAATAATAATAATAATAATAATAATAATAATAATTACGAAGCACACATACTGAAGAATTGGGTTCAACACAAATGCAGATTCTGTGATAAACACCCAGAAAAATTGACCATTTTGTATCAGGTTGCACAGAGTTACCACCCACTGAAAAACACGGCACGGGTGGACCAATATTTGTACTGGAAAATCTACAACTTTTACAGAAAGGAAACTGCAAGAAACTGGTATGAACCCCCGACCCTGTTTCAGAGATAGGACCCGTAACAATTTTATGGGACTTTACAATAAACATAAACAGAACAATCAATCACCCAGACATCGTGATCAAAGACCACAAAGAACAGAATGTACTTTTCTTATTGACAGGAGAGTTCCTGTAGATTGTAATGTATGTTTGAAGATTTTCAAAATATTATTAAAATACTAGGATCTTGAAGTGGAAATTTAAAAAAGAAAATGTAGCATATGAGGACATCAGTAATTCCTGTTGTAGCTGGCGACATCAGATTGATTGGAAAAAAGTTCCGATAGACTCATTGAAGGGATTTCTGGTAGCCCATGCCTTAAACAAATACAGAAAGATTCTCATCACAACTACAGCTCACACCTTACGAAGGGCTTTATCTATGTAAAAATATGGATATTTACTTGATCCCCCCACACTAAGTCAGGTTGTGACACAAGGTCAATTTATAACGTGGGGACCCGAGGGTTTTCACCCGGGCCGCTGGTCTTAGCTGATCATAGTTTGTCCAAGCTGGTCAGAGCTGGTCTAAGCTAGTCATAGCTAGTCTTGGCTTGTCATAGCTGGTCCAAGCTGGTCAGAGCTGGTCTAAGCCAGTCATAGCTAGTCTTGGCTTGTCATAGCTGGTCCAAGCTGGTCAAAGCCGGTCCAAGCTAGTCGTAGCCGTGATTCCACCAGTTCAGGGAGGGAGCCCTGTACCATGTAAGTATCTATGTAAAAATATGTGTGATATTATGTTTTTTGTTTTGTTTTTGTTTTATTATAAAAATGATCAGTGGAAAATATCATGAAGCCATTTCTGACCTTAGGTCACTGGTTGGGACCTGGAAGAAAATGTGGAAGCAACGGAAATCAATAATAATAATAATAAACCTTATCAGGCTGGGTGACTTACTAGGTATATTGGGCTTCTTATATTTCTACATTGGCCTCACTTTGTTAGCGTGCTCTTCTTTCAATCTATAATAATAATAATAATAATAATAATAATAATAGTAACGTGCCAAAATATAGGACGTTCTTGCCACTATTGACTCAGTTATCACTGGGGCGTTGGCATTTATAATACCGAACTTAAAATATTACATTGAGAAAATTAGAATAAAGTCTGGCATCCAATCTTTTTCAGAAATCTGCATTGCTTGACATTGCGCATATTCTGCAAAAGGTGCTGTTTGAGGTTGTATGTCGTGATAGAGAGCATCATAATTCAAGATAACCGATAGAAAACGAAAAAATCTTCGTAAGAAGAGAAGATAATAATAATAATAATATGGCAGTCCCTGCTAACTGCAATGTATCTTTGAAGATATTCAAAAAGTTGTCAAAGTACAAGGACCTTGAAATAGAAATCTCGAAAATGTGGCATATGGGAACATCAACAATCCCTGTTGTAGTTGGAGCCCTAGGACTGGTTGGAAAAGATTGCAGTAGAGTAATTGAAGGGATTCCTGGAAGTCCATGCGTCAAGGAGATACAAAAAATTGTTCTGACAAGTACAGCCCACACCTTACGAAGGGCTTTATCTATGTAATTTAATTTTTTTTTTTTTTTTTTGTCAGTGGAAAGTGTCATGACCCCATTTCTAACCTTAGGTCCCTGGGCGGGACCCGGAAAGAAATGTGTAAACGCCAGAAATCAAAGAAAATAATGATAATAATAATAATAATAATAATTGAAGTGAAAATCCCACTCTTACCTCAACAATGGAAGAAGGTATACAGTTCTGGTAAATATTATGTTCTTGCCCTAAATAACATAACAAAGAAGCAGATTAGATTACGTAAGAGTTAGAACGGATGAAAAATAAACCAGAACAAACGTCGGCGGAAATCACAGAAGAGGATGTTGAATGCGTACTGAAGAAAAAAAAAAAAAAACACAACTGGATACCTCCAAGAATGGAAAAAATTTCCTAACTTTTTGCTCTATTATTTAAATACAGATATAAATAATAAAAAAAATAAAAACTAGCCAAAGAACTTTAAGAAATGGTCAATGATCTTACTAAAATTCCAGCACGAGTAACCAAAGAAATTACCTTCCTTCTATCCAAGAATAGTGACACAAATGTCCCAAAAAACTATAGACCAATTACATGTCTTCCCGCAACTTACAAATTGTTGGTATCTATTCTGACAAAACAGATATATTCCTTCTTTGGAAAAAAATGACAGTACCCCTTGAACAAAAAGGATGTAAACGTGTCTCTTACGGATGTAAAGACCAGTTACTTATTAATGGGATCATCTTGGAAAACTGTTTCACTACAAATAAAAATCTCAGTACTGCCTGGCTAGATGATTGTAAGGTATTCGATAGTGTTCCCAATTCCCAGATCTTAACGTCTTTAAACATATACAAGTTCTCAGACGTTGTCATCAGTTTCATCAAATAAGGTTGATATGGAAAACAATACTTCAACTCAATCATATAAATGGAGTCTATAAATCTGATGAAATAAACATTAACAGAGGAATATTTCAAGGTGATACTTTATCTCTCTTACTATTGTGCCTATGCCTAACCAGCGAACTTAACAGGACGGAATATGCCTATCTCAAAAGAAAATAAGCTATTTTACAGGGAATACTCAAAGTTTGTCTATATTTCTGACATGTGGTAATATGTACAGTATTTACATTATTGTCCTCATTTTTGTCGCCATATTTATCACAACGTTTCTGCCGTTGTACGCTCCGGCCTTCTTCAGGTGGTTGGAATTTCGAACTGAACCCTTTATTTCGATCACTGGGGTAGACTGTTCTAGTTCCACGTGCCATGTTTCATGGATGCCAGTTATCAGTTATCTCCTGCTAATTTTCCCTCTGAAAGTTCTCCAACTTAACCGGGTATTGAACTCATACTCTTTGGGTCTGTCACTGGATCTAACCAACGCCTTTATCCACTGTGTCATGTGTCCTTGAGGACATCTGGGTATGAATTTATGGGTATTATAAACCTAATGTTTTCAGCATCAATTTTACCAGTGCTCATATTGCAATTTTGCTGTTATCCTTGCATGTTTTTACCAGATTGCAACTGTGTTATTATTGCTTTTCTCTGGCACTCCTTATTATTGGTTCCCATATTGTATTTATTTCTATGCTCGGTCGGCTCAGGAGATTTTTGTGGCCGAGCATATGTGCTGATTCCTTAAGTTTACGAATTTTCCAGTGGTGTTTCCTGTCTATGATCTCAACATGATCCCACAGGGGACGGTGATCTCCCTTCTCTCTCCATATGTGGTCAGCCACGCCTGATTTTTCTACTTCCCCTCGCGTTACAGCTTTCTGGTGTTTTTGAAGCCTTACCTTGAGGGGGTGGCCTGTCTCTCCTTTATATTCCTTTCCGCATCTACAAGGGATAGCGTAAACACAGTCTTTAGTAATGTTCTCCTCTTGGGGGGGTCTCACTCGAGAGAGATATCTGCGAAGTGTTGTCAAGCCTTTGAAGCTTGTCCTGATGTTATATGGACCGCAGATCCTTTGTATTTTCTCTGATAACCCCTTCACATAAGGCAGGCAGACTGTTTTCTGAGTGTTGTTGTCCTCCTCTTGTACCCGCCTATCCCAGTTTTGGGGGGCTGCTGCCATGTACCCAGGGTAGTTGTTACAACGGCCGAAACGTTGTGATAAATATGGCGACAAAGATGAGGACAATAGTCCGAATAATGTAAATACGTTACTCAAAGTTGTATGATAGGAATGACAGTGAGCTGGAAAGTCTACTGAAAGCAGTAAAATGTTTTAGTGATGACATTGGAATGGAATTCGGTTTAGATAAATGTGCTAAAGCCACACTTTTACAAGGATCTGCAATAAATCTCCTCTATTAGCTTAAACTCTGGGGTAACAATCAAAGATTTAGAGCAAGAAGAAGCTTATAAGTACTTCGGTGTAAATGAGAGTGAAGGAATTCACGATAAAAATGAAAGAAGTAGTGAAAAAGTACGATAGAAGCGTGTGACTGATATTAAGAACTAGATTGAATTATCAGAACAGAATTACAGACAGTTCATGTATTTATCAAGGCAATTTTTGTATTTCTCTTAAGCTGGGATTTCCATGGATTTTTTCAATGTGTTGTGTTCCTTTTTTATCATTCCAAGCGCACCTTTTATGACTGGTACTATTCTTGTTTTCAATTTCCGCATTTTTTCTATTTCGATTTCCAGGTCTTTATACTTTGATAGTATTTCAAATTATTTGTTTGTTATCTTACAGTTCGCTGGATTAGCCATATCAATTAGTAGGCAAGTTTTTTGCTTTTCGGTTTTTAACAATTATGTCCGGCCTATTTGATTTAATGTTCCTGTCTGTAAAGGTGGTTTAATCCCATAGAATTGTAATGTCTTCTCTTTCTGTAACCGGTGCTGGGTGATGTTCATGTCAGTGTTTATTAACATCTTTTCGAAGGACTTACGAAGGGCTTTATCTATGTTAATATGTTTGTTTTTTTCATTTTCTCGGTGGAAAAAATCATGACGCCATTTCGGACCTTAGGTCTCTGGTCGAAACCCGTAAAGAAATGAGTGCAAACCAGATATCAAAGTAAATAATAATAATAATAATAATAATAATAATAATAAAGGACAAACAGAAGACGAAGGAGAAGAAGAAAAATAAAAAAATAAAAAATGAGTGAATAAGAAGAGAATGAAACATTTTTCAAAAATCAGGGGAATTTAGAAAAAAATAAAAAATACGAAAGAACATTAAAAGAATATTTTTTTAAAGATGAAGAAGAAGAATAATGAATGAATAAATGAACGAATAAGAAAAAAAGACGTAAAAGAAGAGGGGAATCGAAGGAAACATTTTTCCAAAAATTCGGGAATTTAGAAATAAATAAAAAATAATAAAGGACGTTAAAAGATGGATATTTTAAAGATGAAAAAGAAAAAGAAGAATGAGTGAGTGAATGAATGAATGACGGAAGGAAGGAAGGAAGGAAGGAAGGAAGGAAGGAAGAAAAAAAAAGGCATAAAAGTTGAGGAAATCGAAGAAACATTTTCAAAAAATCGGAGAAATTTAGAAAAATAAAATGAAGAAAAAACTAAAAATTCGGTTAAAAGGAAGGAACTTTTTAAAGAAGAAGCAGAAGAAGAAGAAGAAGAAAAAGAAAAAGAAGAAGAAAAAGAAGAAGAAGAAGAAGAAGAAGAGGAAGAAGAAGAAAAAGAAGAAGAAGAAGAAGAAGAAAAGAAGAAGAAGAAGAAGAAGAAGAAGAAGAAAGAAGAAGAAGAAAAGAAGAAGAAGAAGAAGAAGAAAAAGAAGAAGAAGAAGAAGAAGAAGAAAAAGAAGAAAAAGAAGAATAATAATAAGAAGAAAAAGCCGTCAGTGAATGTCGCATTTTTTTTTAGCCAGCCATATAATAAAATTGAAAGAACGAAAAAGGAAATGGAAGCGTAAATTGGAAAGGCATGCTTTAAACAGTCTTGAAGAATTCTGTAAAATCTTGATTGGAAATTTGAGAGAAGAATCGAAATCGTCCAAACTAACCAAAATCGCAAAAAAAAAATAATGGGGAGATTCCTGTAGCAACCTGGTATCAGCCTGTCTTGGCGGAAAAATTCTGAAATCAAAATCACGGAGGAGGCAAATGGTAGCCGCTGTACACACTTTCTCAAGAAGTCATTACAGTTGCCATATATAAGGTAGATATGAAGAGCCATGATCGTTTGTATCCTGAAGGAACATAACAGAAACTGCTGGTTAGTTTTTGTAGACTAATCGGAAAGAAATACTAGCCAAAAGTTAACATTTTCTTTGATTGAAAAAGGTATCTGATTTCAATTGATTTCTTCGAGTGTTCGTCTCTGTGATAAGTAGGTGGAATCTCATTCCGTTGGTCATTTGGCTGGCCAATGTCAATGTCAATGTTGGTTTTTCCTTTTTAAAATGAATGCGCCGATCTGATGTCGTACTTCATCCAATCTGTCTTAAATCGAATCATCTCTTCAATCTACGACACTAGCTTGGCTACGCACCTGAGAAGTCGGCAGCCTGGATGACCCCTTTTGCTTGATTGAATTCCGAGTATCTTATCTTTATCAAGATTACAATTCGGCGAAATTTACTTTCTGCATTGCTGAAAAGCCGAACAAAGAAACACAAAAGAAGTTTCGAGGAAACATTTTTTGAAAACTTCTACTAACTATACAAAAGTGGGTGCTGAAAACTGATTGACACGACCCGTCCCACTACCAGAACTGACTCACTGACCAAACATCGCAATTATTTTGGGGGTGACTTAGACAAATAATTTTTCAACGCCTAATCGTACACCATAGGTTAAATTCTCATCGAACATGTGACAAAAATCGATGATAAAATTGTGGGAGGGTGTGTTCTTATATTGGAGGTCAATATGTTGACGATTTTTCCCATCTTCAACATCAATGTAAAACAAGTACAAAAGGATCTGCAGTGATAGCTTTACAGGAAAAATTTATTTTACTTAGATTTTAGAAACATTCTGCAGAATATTTTAGTACTCACAATATTTATGTTTTCATTTTTCGTAGTATAATAATCATAATAATAATTGTCACAATAATCAACAGATATCCCTCATCAGTTAATCATAAACATCTGATGATCACCAGAAGGTATTTGGTCGAAATGTTGTGTCAATAATAACATCTATACCAATGAAAATAAGAACTAGAAAACAGTATTCACATTAGTCGGACTATTGTCCTCATCTTTGTCGCCATATTTGTCACAACGTTTCGGCCGTTGTACGCTCCGGCCTTCTTCAGGTGTTTGGAATTTCGAACTGAACCCTTTATTTTGATCACTGGGGTAGACTGTGTAGTTTCACGTGCCATGTTTTGATGGATGTCAGTTATCAGTTATCTCCTGCTAATTTTCCCTCTGAAAGTTCTCCACTGCCTTAACCAGGAATTGAACTCCCCTTATTTGGGTCTGTCACTGGATCTAACCAACGCCTTTATCCACTGTGCCATGTGTCCTTGAGGACACCCCAGTGATCGAAATAAAGGGTTCAGTTCGAAATTCCAACCACCTGAAGAAGGCCGGAGCGTACAACGGCCGAAACGTTGTGACAAATATGGCGACAAAGATGAGGACAATAGTCCGACTAATGTAAATACTGTACATAATACCTCATCTCAGAAATATAGACAAACTAGAAAACAGTTCGAATTAATACTAGTATCTAGTCAGCATTTGCTACTGTTTATGGGCCGACTCAGTTCCGATCAAGGAAATTGCATCGGCTTTTATGTTCATCTCTTGTCTATTGACGCATCAGTCTACTCAAGCAGGGTAATTTTGTTGAGCTTTGGTGATAGTTGACAATATCATACCATATATATTCGTGTGTATAAGACGGGAAATATGTGACAAAAAATTGATGATAAAATGGTGAGGGCTGCTTATATTCGAGCCAATATTTTACCGATTATCACCATCATAAAATAAGCAGAAATACGGTTTTATTTATTTAAAGAATATTTTTAGTACCCACAGTCTTTATTCATGTTTTTTTTTATTTTTCATTATACAGGATGTATCAAAATACTTTTACAAACATTGGGGGCGAGTTTCTCACACCAAAACAAGAATGAAATTCTATATAAACTTATCCTTCGTTTTTGAGTTAAGTTTAAAGAGATTCTACGATAGATGGCGCTGTGTTGTCATGCAGACTAACTTACATTTGTCATTCCAGTGCATTTGTAACGAGTCTGTCTTCAACGTTTAATTTAAAACAATTTTATCTTGTTTTAGTGTGAGGAACCCACCCCAAAGTTTGTAAGAGTATTTTTGGATTGTATCTTGGATTGTATATAGCGTCTACCGTAAACATTAAATTTAAAAGCTGAAAAACCAACGATATGTAGATATATATCAATACGGACCTTTCTCCTCGTTTTGGTGTGAGGAACCCGTCCCCAAATTTTTTGGTGTACCCTGTCTATTAGAGTTATTTTTCGCACAAGCTTTTCTTTTCTTATTGCAAATGATATGGGCATCAAGCTCACTATATAAAACTTAAATAACTTTGCAAAAATGGATCTATTTGCAGGATGTTTAAAGTTTTAAGTCATGCATTTCATTCAATAAAATCTTGTTACATTTGGAAGATGGCGCTATTGTCGTCTGTTAAATGAAGTATACAAACATTAGAGAAAATGGTTAAACTTTTATGAAACAGATGAAATGGTAAAAACATCATTGTACAATGACTTTATGAAACTAGAAACTATACTCTAAATGATAATTTAGTATTGAATATTACTGGTTTGGTGCTTCTGCTATGGATTTAGAGATTCTTGATAAAATCAAATATAAGTGACTAACTCTGGCAAACGGATGGCTTGTAAATATTAACGCCTGCAAAACAAATGGGCTCTCTTTAATCATCTGAGAGACATCTATCTACCTTCTATCAGTATGGCTGATGTCGTCGTGTCCACTAAAATATCAAATACAATATTTATAAACCAATCACACTCAAGAAAACACTTACATCTTAAAACACACCAATAAAATCATAGATTACAAATCAGAATATTTGTTGTATTAGTCATCATTATTTTTAGGTAGATACCGACCAAATATCGTACGAACGTAGTAGAAGTCATACCAGGTGACTTCTTAGGGCCAATTAGGAATAAGTAAATAATTTAATTCTGGAGCCGATATTGTTCGGAAAAAGTGTATAAAAAACATACGAAATCCGTTCCCAAAACAATATACACGCGGCTGTCACCAAACTACACACACCCCTCGTTGATGACCTTCATGACCTCATGTTAAAAACGACAGCGTTAACAAACTTCAGACCACGGCAATACCGCCAACAGTAAGAAACAATTCGTATCTCTCGTATCCGTTTTTACTATGAATCACGCACACACATGTTGACTTTTTCATACAAACACACATATCACAACATTTTATTGTTTCTCAGACACGTACACAAAGAGAGTTTATATCTTATTTAAGAACTTTATCAACCCAAACAAAAAACATTACTTTCCAATCTATTATCAACTGTTTGCATTCTTACCGTTATATTAAATCAATGTTTATTTGTTGAAACTACGTCGTCTTTTGTACTGAATTTTATTCCTTCAATGAAAAGCGTTTGATTATTCAAGACGGCCATATTACGAGCGACCCTGTAACGATTTTTGTATCCCGACACTCCAAATTTTAACATTCAACGAAAAACCGAGTAGAAGGATTCCTACAATGTTAACCTCGAGTAATTTGCTGCGTCTTCTCGGGCTAACATTCTCGGCCGACATGAAATGAAAAGATAATATTGAATCGTTCCTGCTTTAAATATAGATGCCACATATGGTCTGGTGCTCCTGCTATATATTTAAAGATTCTTGATAAAATCCCAAGAAGAATCTGCTATTGGTGATGACCTGGCACTAACACAGAAGGGGTTACAGGGCGTGGAAGAATTAGGAACATAGACATTACTAATGAGTAGAAAAAGAAAACAGTAATCAGGAGGACAGTTGAAACTACCTTGTCTTTTGTACTGAATTTTATTCCTTCAATGAAAAGCGTTTGATTATTCTAGACGGCCAAATTACGAGCGACCCTGCGATTGACATTGCATTTAAATTTTTGCGGATTAAAGTTGCCTAGAAAGCATGGAGCCCGAAGGGAGTTCCAGAAGCGAAATTGAGAGAAAAGAAACTGTTAGCAGAGAGCTTACGGCTACATGCAGCTAACTCAACTGTAAATTGATGAGATCTCGCCGCCAGTCTAGAAATCCGCTTAAATTCATACCATAGTGAAAAATTACAATGAAAGTATTTATAAAAAAAGACAGAGAGGCAACTTTACGGTGGTGGGAAAATAACTGAAGCCGAGCCGCCAGATCAGGACCAATAATATTGCTGATTCTTCTTTGGATCTTATCAAGGAGCTTCAGGTAAATAACAGGGACACCGGACAATGTATGGCAGCAATATTCTAAGCATTGACAAATAGTTGAGTTTTAAATATACAAAATAAATT